ACTAAATAGTTGAGAGACCCACCTCCTCCTTAGATAACAACTTCTTTGTCTATTTCAAAATAACAATATATACATCCAAAGATGCAATTGATAAGGCCTCTACTTGGTATCACGTACAACACCCATCTTAATTATTGATTGATACAGCTACCAAAACAGGGACCATTAGGTATATATGCATAAATAAAACAAAGCTAACAAATGAATTATGCAAGTAAGAAAACAACACAAGGTTGTTGATGACAGGAGATTATAACCATAGAAGAGGATGTGTCTCGCATTTAGACCGTGGGACCTGAGCATGTGTCTTGTCTTCACCAACTGTAGATCCCTTTCATCACTTGTCGAGTGTGAGTTCTAACTAGAAAGGGCAGTCCTCTTTAGCACAGTAGTTTGATGGTTATACAACTCAATAACCCTTTTTCCTCTCTTACTTCTCACTGGATCATTAACCAGCCGGTTAGATCATTCAGCCTTAAAATGATCGGAACCCGCAAACCTCATCATTGAGTCACCAGTTCATCAGTACTCTAACCATCTATGATTCTAGGGTGGTTTTGAGTAACACTGTTAAAAAATGCAACCAACATAAGAAAGGTGGTAGAGGAGAACTGGTTACCTGTTGAGCAGGTTAAACCTCATGTCTCCCATTGGTAGGGGTACGACTCAGGTTGGTTTAGTTAATTGACTACCGAACCAGCCCGGTTTGCCACTGCTGAAAGGAAGAAGAGGGTGAAGGAGGAGAAGAAAAAGAAGAAGAAGGGAGAGGGAGAAGAATGAAGTGTAAAATAATATATATATATATGCCATGTGATATCATGTGTGTACGGGTATTAATGGAATATTAACGGATGCTAATAGTAAAGATAGAATTAATCAATTATCAAAAACAGTAAAAATAGCATTAGACAATAATTAAACAAAAGGGATATACTTAATGAATTATCTAAACCATAAGAGTAGTTTAAAAAATTTACCCATTAGCATTTATACACTACTTTGAACTTAAAACTGTGGGTCATCCCCTAATTTATAATCCCTTTATCACCCCCCTCACACCTTCCTTACTCTTTCCATTAAATTATTCACATTGCCCAAACCTCCTACCTAATTCACTGCATCTATCCCACCATTTCGTAGGGCTGCTTGTTTGATAGTGGGTGAAGTGGGTGATATGGGTGGATACGTATGGATCCATTAAATCTTACCCCATCCTTTAAATATTCTTCCAACAACAACAATTAATAAACAAGGGCAGTTGCTGACTTAGAAGAGAGTCAACTTTTCCAAAGCTTATGTGGTAATCACTTGCCAATGGCCCATTAGTTGCTGAGATGGTGACTCGGTGTCCTACACTGAATCAAATTCACCTAACTTTATAAGCTTTTAATTCGTGATAGGATCAGTGAACCTTATTATGTGCATTAATCTCCCATAACGTGTAATAGTTCCAAACCTAATGAAGTAAAATAGTTCCCAAACTTGTCAGTTGGAAGACCTCTGCCTACCTTAACATAAAACGCTGAAAATGAAGTAAAATAGTTCCAAACCTAATGAATTGAGATGGCAACTGTTTCAATTTTGACGTATACTTGCTATCTTAACCCTCTCTCCATCAAACACAGTTAGAAGAAATCTTTCGGAGGAGTACTTGGCTTAAAAAGATTCTTGAATCTTGTGTAAAGAAAGAAAGAAAGACACGCCACCAAATCACGTGTACAGGCCATATTAATACGAACAGAGAAATGCGATGGATGCTTTAGTGACTGACCGCCCATTTTTGGTTGTTTCTTTCATGTGCTAGGCCGACCTCATTACACCATAGGCTGAAGGGCTCATCAATTCTATTATCTTGGCCAGAGAACGACAACCAGTTTAGCCATTACTGTTATATATTCAATATTTTCGACCCGCCATTGACCTGATCCGTTGAAATTGTCATCCAATCAGGATTTAGAGGCTATAATTTTACATTTCGATTTTGGTTAGGGTGATTTTTTTTAGTTTGAGCAATTTTTGGAGATTTATGCATCTCAAAGGGTTATAGGTGTTTTGTCCTGTTATTTTTGTAAAAAAAAAACTTTTTTAACTTTAAATGACAATTTTTAATATTTTTTATAGATAAAAAAATTAAAAACTGAATTAAAAATATAAATTAAATATAAAGTAATACATATAATATATCTAAAACATATTTATACATTATTATTGCTAAAATATATATATATATATATATATATATATATTTATACACACATATATGTATATAAATATATATACTTGTACACATACATATGATGATGTGACACAGTCTGAACCGTTCAATCTAACGACCTATGACAAAGAGGCAAAAATGGTTCAGCTTCCGGATCGGTTTTTAAAACATTGTATATACTAATCAAGTAAAAAATGGGTAGATATAATAGCAATATAGGAGGGGGGGCATCTTGACCATCTAATTAATCCATCACCATCACTAATTTGGGCAAAGTTTGCATCAAGAATCAATGCTCAAGCTGTGTCAAGGGGACTATTTGGCTACAGAGCATGATGCAATCGTTACAGAATAAAAATGACTGATACACACAAGGACCTAATTTACTGATGCTTACGACCAAAGTTCCCAACAAATATATTAGGACAAGACACCAGACTCCTACATAGGGTGTCAAAATGCCTGAAGCTTTAGCTCAGTTTGGAAGGTGTATAAATACAAATATATAGACTGCAAAACCTTGTATTTTATATTATTTTATATATATTTGTGCAATACATATTTGTATTTACACTCCTTTTAAACTAAGCATTTGGCTCCATTTAGAAGGAGTATAAATACAAATATATAGAGTGCAAAACCTTATATTTTGTATTATTTTATATGTATTTGTATTGTACATATTTATATTTATTTTCTTTCCAAACTAAGCCTTTGAAATAAATGATTTGCATTATATCACTGCTTATAAATGATTTCTCTTTATCCAATATAATACCATACCAGAGCATTAACTCAAGTATCTTTTCTTTTGCATCTTTACCGTATAGGCATAGCTGTGGATAAGTGTAGTTATTCGGGTAATTGCTTTGTAGGCAACACTTTGGATAGGGATCTAATACCAACAAAACACTCCTAATATTGTACCAATGTGCCACTATGGTGCAGCCATAGACTGAGAGTATCTCCCTTGTCATTAATGGAATATGTTCCCAATTTGCAGCTGCAATGCCAATTGGGATAAATTGGGAGCGTTTGGTTTGGTTGGTAGTTGATAACTCTGCATTTTGATGCCTTAAGGGTATCAAATCAAGTATATTTTCAGTCTTAGAGTAGTCAAATTGTATCATTTTTTCAGTTAATTTCAATGTTGTGACCTCTGAGGGTCTCTGTGCAAATTATATGCAAAATTGGAAAGTTTTCAAGATTGAAATGCAACTTTTGGGAAGCTAGTGTGAAGTCCAATTGAGAGAGGGGGTGTTTTTGTGAAAAACTGACAACAGGAAGGCGCCTCCTATCTACTAAACCAAGTTTGGCAGACCCTAGGGCACCTTTTAATCCATTCTTTTCACTCTTATCAAACCTTAGCCGCCCCTAGGTGTTTAATCTCCACCCTCCACTTCTTCTAATCTCCACCACTCATTCTAGGGCACTCTTTTTATAGCTTTTAAACCCTAGGCCGCCACCTAACTGCTAATCCTCACCATTCAGCCCCTAACCACTAGATCTCATCCCTCCGCTCCATCTTATATCTTATCCATCCACTATAGGGTGCCACCCACCTGTTTTAATCTCCTCCTTTCAACCCTAGGCGCCTCAATCTCCTCCATCCATTTCTAGGCGCCCAAATCTCAGCCCTTCTATTCTCAGCCTTAAGATCAACCCAAAACCATCCTAACCCTCCATTAGAAACCCTAAGGCATCCATAACTTTGCTAAAATCCAGCTGCCGCCCCCTTCTTTCTTTCTAATCTCAATTGTATCCACCATTCTCTATAAAAATGACCCAAGAGCTCATGAGAAAGGGTTGGATTCTGCCCCCAAGTAAGATGGAAGGCTGATCTTGAGAAGTTCAAGGGTAGAGGAAGAGGAAGACGCCCAAGCAAGAGGAGGGGTTCCTACTTGCAATTCGCCAACACCACTACTGCCACCTCTGGATTCAGATCCCAACCATTAGTCTTAGATTTAATTTTGGTTCTTTCAATTCCAGTTTCGTTATTTCCTTTCTGCAATTTATTTTCATTATGTTTGATCTTCGCTTTCTTTTCTATAAATCTGGAATTTGGCCAAGTAAGACAGAATGCCTAGTTTGAGGGTCGAATGAGAGATCTGGAGAATGATACCTTTGATCGGATTACAGATTTTTTATTTCGTTTCCTTTATTTATTTATTTTTTTTGCACTTTTTAATCTCTGCAATGTTCGAATTCTATCTTTTTTTCAGTTTAATTAATTAATTTTTATATTTCTGCACTTCCTTATGTCTTTTGTCCGGATTTGAGTACGTTTTAATTTTTCCCTCGCTTCCCAGTGGATACGACCCATTCTCATCATTTTACTACGTTTATAATTGTTTAAGAATAAAAAAAAAATATAAATATTAAAACCGATATTCCAAAGTGGTTAATGATACACTTCTGGACACATCAGTAGCAGATCTGAGCTTAGACAATTTATCATTTTTACTAGCATATGTTCAAGTTCTATTATTACAAGTTATAAGCTAAAATTATGGCATTTTCCCTCCTCGCTGGTAGGTTAGCATATGTTCAAGTTCTATTATTACAAGTGACTTTCTCGGTGAGGCCATTTTATGTACCATGCTGATTTTCTGTTTTAGCCCTGGCGCAGGTGCTACGATAATGTTGTAGCAAAAAGTGAACTAGGTGCAAAATATCAATAATGATATGAATTCCTAATCCACCCATCCTTATCACGTTGGGAACGAAAGAGATGAAGCGAACATGGAATTCCTAATCCATCCATCCATTTCACGTTGGCAACCGATCAAAATTAAGCCTTGAATATGCAAGGCAAAGAATAAATTGACAGAAAGAAGGGTCACGTCTCACGTCCGCCAGGAATGACAAAGACAAAGTTGTGACTTTGCCATATATCATACATATATGGTCACCCAAAATTACTCTAAACTCTAACACTTTTATACGTATATTATATATATATATATAATTAATCTGATGTATCTATGTATTGTTCATAAGCTTATATCCCGCATTTTTACAAGTATACAAAGGAGAGGAAGGGTAAATAAAAAAAAAAAAAAAGAAAAAGAAAAAGAAAGAAAAGAAGAGCAGTGACGAGTCAGAATAAGAGAAGGCATAGGACAAGGCAACAGAAGAGGAAGATGGAAATTCTGTTAAGCGACTTGTCCATTTGCATCTCATGCCGTCTCATCCTGGGACTACCACTCCCCACAAGATACTGTGAATTAGGGTAGTAGAGGCTGGTGTGGGAGTTTCCAAACACCCTTGCATAGACCATCTCTCCGAACATCCCAACCACCGGATAGAAGACACTCGTCGTCGTAGTGCCCCCAAGGTTAATCACGGGAGACGGATATGATGCCGCTGAATAATTGTAATTGCTGTAATGCTGTGGATAGTATCGTTGATGATGTTGATATGGATCAGCAGCTTGTTGATAAGGATTAGAGTGAATAATCCCACATGCGGACGCAGGGGGTCTACGCGGTATCTTGAGACCGTCATGGGGAGCCTTGCTTTGGGTGTCCGTTTGTGTGGGGTCTTGTCCTCGTCCGTAGAGGGGAACCAGGGCTCTGCGGGAGATGTGAGCCTTGCATACTGGGCACTGTGGTTTCTGCTGCTGCTGCTGCTCTTCTGATCCCGTGGAAGCACTCTGGAAATGAATCCACTTGTAGATGCATGGCCAGCAGTATAGATGACCACAAAGCGTCACCACTGGATCTTGAGCGAAGTCTAGGCAGATATTGCAGTCGAAGCACCCAGTGACATTATTGTCCGCTGCATTCATAGCAGTATTTGAGACGGTTTTCCACTTCTGCAGTGGGGATCCGTCTCCGTCCTCCTCATGTTGTGCCACCCCCTCGTAGAAGTATTGCTCCATGGCCATACGCCTTTTGTGTGGTCTTCTTAGACCTGAGGAAGTCACAGCCAACAAAAGGGAAACATCAGTTAGAAATTAGAATTAATTCCCAAGGTAGGGAAAGTAGGGGAAAGGTAGAAAATTTTATACAAGGTTTGTAAAGATTTTTTTACCTTTTTCTTCTTTTTCTTGTTTTTTTTTTTCCTTTCAACCAAACGACAGCTTAGGAAAAAAAATGGTAAAGGGGAAGTTATTTATGGTGCATGGCAGTATGGCACCGAATACAAAAAAAATAGCCCTGACACCATAACGAAATTTGCAACCCCCAGCTTGTTATCGGCAATAAAAGACCAGTGACAGTAACGTCATGATGACTAATGCCCAGCTGGCCCAGCTGGTAAGGTAAAGGTAGTCCTACCCAATACGTACTGTGTAGTGTGTAGCGCCTTAATTGGCGTCCCCAGTCCCGAGAATTGCCCGGTTCAGTACTTTGGGCATGGTCCATTTCCTCCGGCTTGGTCTGAGAACTTTTTTTGACCCCTAAAGATACAGTCTACTGTATACAGATCCCTCATAAAATATATCGGATTGTGATAATTTTCTTATTGTATGCATGTATTGGAAATGGTATACAAATTGTACTAGAGAAAGATAAAGATAGGTATTCCATTGGCAACATCCTATTCCTATTCCTCGGGTCAATTCCACGTCCCACTGTGGCAAAATCAGACAAGATTTGAAATCATGCAAGATTACTTAGAACACGGAACCGACCAAAATCATGAAACCAGATAAGGATGCCAAGAAGGCAAGAAATCTCGCCCCAAAAAGAGCTAAAAAGCAAATATTCCTCTACAAAAACAATTTTGCAACGCTTTCAGCTCTCAATAGAATGATTCAACAAAGAGATCACATACTTTTAAAACAAAAAAAAAAAAAAAAAAAAATCACAAGTTGAAGTTGCGCAAGGGCCAGAGATCCATGAGATAATAAGCACTTGGAAATCTCCAGTTTGTTAGGAGAATAAATGGGATATTATGTGGAAAACAAAGGGTAATCTTGAATTTCTTACCAAAAGTAAAAGGAGTAATCTTGAATTAAAAGGTACTATCTATTTCACAAGATTAGAATCTTAGAATTAAGCTACACTTGAGGTCTAAAATCGGTGTCCTAGAAATAAGAAAGCCAACAAAACTAGTAAGAATTGTCAAAAATACAGGAATCATTATCTACAAAAGATGTACGAGAAACACTTGAGAGAACCATTTGAATATTACTAGAATAATATAAAAATATCAGTAACAGGAAAATTAAAATTATTTTATCAAAAGTGTGTATTATATAAAAATCTTTTCTGTAGAACCTTATACATAAAATATGTAAATTATGTAGTATTATATTATATATAAAATGCTATAATATAATACTGTTTTAATTGTCAGGAAAATAGAAGATCTTCTGTGGTCCGAATTATTTAAATACACATCCATCTAGACGTTCAAACTCAACATGTGTGGGGCATATCGCATGTTATCGTTTGTTTTTCACTGGTCCAGATTTGTTTATACTTTGAATAGGACGAGGAAATCAAAGGATTCCTTTACCTTTAAACCAAACATAGCATTAGGATTCCTTTACCTTCCTCTTACACTGTCTACCGGTCTACCCAGATGAACTATCAGAGGGGGAGAAGTTTTCTACACAGGGGAAAAAGATTTAGAGAAAAATTAAAGCTATTAATCTTTTATGTTTTCGGAAAAACGAAGTATAATTTTCAAGAACCTATAAATAGTATAAAAATAGTACTGGAGGAAAGAATTAAAAAGGAATCAAGAAATAAAAATAAGCATCTTGGCGTAAAATAAGTTTTTCTTGCTTTGCTGAAGGGGAAAGGAGTGGTGGGAGAATGCCCACGCAAAGCCAGTAACCAAAGGATGTCGCCGGTGGAAGCCATCGCATCGTTTACTGATGATCAACAGATAATTTTAGGAGAAAAAGGGAGGATTTCATTTATAAACTCGTGAGAAAAATCGTCCTGTTCATGACTCTTCTAGGTCGTCCGAATCACGGTGCCGAAATCTCTATTCCTATTCAGAATAGGAACATCAGAGATTGAATGCGAACCAAGAGAACAGACATTTTAGAGCAACTTCCTTTCCTTTTGCATCGAGACCCGAAAATACTAATAAAACAGAGAGAGAGAGAGAGAGAGGGTGTGGAAGACATCTGGACAAAGCTCTGTTATTGCCTAATGCGGTTCTTCTCATCACGCTACTAGAGATACATGATCTCCAGAGTCTGATCTCTTTGGGATACAAACAGCAAACCAATGTAACGAGATGAAAGGAAAAAAATAGTGGTTTTAGAGATCGGAAAGGGAAAAATCGAAAATCGGGAAGGAGAAAAACGAGGTTTCCGCCAAATGATTCGTTCGAAAATAAGGGCTCTAGGGTTTTACGACTAGGTCCTATAAGATGGCTTAAAATCCGCTCTTGCGTCTGGATATCTATTACGGTCCTAAAGGTTAAACAGCCTGATTTTCGGCGTTCTACAAATCGGATCAGTCGTCTTAGGGCCTTGGGCATATTGGTCGGGTAAGTAATAAAATCCAAGCGTAATGAGTTCCAATGGATGACTCGGACGAGCCACATATGTTTAAAGTTTAAATTTGGATGAACAAACGCCTAACCGAAGATCTGATAAAGAGATAAACAGAGATCCTTCTCCAAATACATTTCTTTCAACAAATTTCTCTGTGAAAATCTACTCGAGGATTAAATAATGCATCACATGAAACCAGAGGCAATAGATTCTTCAATAATCGTTTAAACCTAGCGATTTAAGGCCTATTTACTGTCACTTCCACAAAGGAAGCCATTGCATTATGCAATTTCTTCCTAACACAATTAAAACCATCCGATCGACACTGCTAACCTCAATAATCAGCTCAGGGGAGGGCGAAAGGAGAGACATAGAGAGTTCCACATAATTTATCAAAAAACCAGAAAGGGTGCAAGATCTAAACTTTGTCGGCTACGAGACAAAATTCCTTCTTTCACAGACGTAAAACATGAAACTTATCGCAGGTTCACATACAAATTAATGAAACATAATGAAGGAATCAGAAAAAGGATTTCGAGTTGCATACCTATATTCCGGGAGGCTTACAGAGACTACGACGGCTGATTCTTCTTCTGCAATTCCAAGCTGTTCGCAACGAAGCTTCTTCAATTCCGAATCTAATCGCGTCGTTTTGAGGGAACGAGAAAGGGAAGAAATCGAAGAATAGAAACCGAGGTGAAGAAGGGAAATGACAGAGAGAAGATTAGAGAAAATCCAAACAGAAGTAGAGAGAGAGAGAGAGAGAGAAATTAAAGCAGCGTCTGCGGAGAAATGTCTTGTCGAGAGTCGAGAGATGAAGCTTCTTCTCCAACGGGATTTTATAGAGGAACCGGATAAACAACTCCCTCCCACCGGTGCTCCCACCAATACGCTGACGTGGCACGTGGTATTGCGTGATGCTCGCGTGTGCTTTCTGTTTCCTCTCTTTTTCTAAACTATTTCAACATGTGCCCTTCGCTAACATGCGCTTATAACTTACTTTCGCATTTGGCATTTCGGCCTCGATGATCTTGAAATTAGGTGAAAAAGTCACTTTTGAACCCTAAATTTTCAAAAATTCTATTTTCACCTTCAATTTATGATAAAAAGGTCAATTTTAATAAAAAAGCAGACGATATTAAAGATTCCATCTACAATTCCGTTAAATAAATAATAAAATAATATGGTTCATTGATGTGTCACTATTCAACTAAAAAAAATTTATTTGAAAAATTACATGTGAGTCCCACATAAAATTTCCACTATTCATATATGACCAACAATAAAACAAAAATAATTATTTTATTTAATAATTAATTATTAATAAATTATTAATAAAATAATGAATCATGCGACCAAGAACAAAAGAAAAATATTTTTTATTTAAAATTATATTAATAATAAACTATTAATAAAAATAATTATTTATTAATGAATTATAAATAAATAAATTAATATTGAATTGTTATTTTATTAATAATTTATTTTTAATTAATTATTAAATAAAAATAATTATTTTATTTTATTCTTGATCAGATGTGAATAAGTGTGAATTTTAAGTGGGACCCACTTGTTTTTCCTTAAAATTACTTAAGTTGAAAGATCTTGACTATTTCTTGTTTTATTAAAATTCATTATTTTTATTAATAATTAATTATTAAATAAAAATATTTTTTATTTTTATTCTTGGTCACATGTGAGTGGTGGGATTTTTGTGGGACCCACATGTAAATTTTCAAACTTTTTTAACTTGAACAATGGCACATCAATGAACCTTCTAATTTAATTATTTGTTTAACAGGTTAATAGCATCTCTAGCATGTTTTTGCCTTAAAAAGGCTTTTATACCATAGTTTGAGGGCAAAAATGGCCTTTTTAAACTTTACGGGGGGCAAAAGTGGCTTTTGCGCATTTGATCACCAAAGCCAAAAGTCCTTTTCGCATTTAGTCCATCCAATATTTGTTAACTATACAAGATTTACAATTATTCAGTTCATTGTGGACTGTCCTTGTCCACACAATATATAATGGACAAAATGGATAGATGATTCAGTTGGATGATTCAGTTGAATGCACCAACCTTAAAACCCTTTTTTTACTGTTTGAAACCCATTTTAAATTGTTTATTACATTATTTTTAATAATTTTTAATATTTGAAGAAAATATTATAAAGATTTTTAAATAGTGAACAACTTTTTCATTTTTATCATAATTTTTGTTAACAAAATGATTTTTATTAATACATAAACTCATATTCTATACATTTTATCATCTAATATTTAACATATATGACATATACTTTTTATATTTATTAATAATTATGTATTGATTTATTATTCTACATGTTATTGATTTATTATGAATCATCTCACATGTTGCATGTACAAAACACCCACATAGATGTATAGATAATTTTAGTCCACACATTTTGTTCATAATTAAGAAGAACTCAGACATTGGTGTGGTGCAATTTTTCTTTTGATAGATAAAAAAGTACTAGAATTTTAGCAAATTACAAAGGTGTAATGTAAATTAGTCCCTGCCATAACAGTGTGTTCTATATCTACCAATTTCTTATTCATGACTCCATTGCTATGATTTTCCCTTTGGTACACAGTGCACCAAAACAAGCCATGTTATCAGCGTGAGATCACTCTGAGACTACCATCCACTAAGGTTATGTTTGGTTTGAAAGAAAAGGCAGGGAAAGGAAGAAAAAAACAGGAAAATTAATACAAGATTTATAAAGATTTTCCTACCTCTTCCTTCTTTTCCTTACATTTTTCTTCAAACCAAAACATATCCTAACTGTTTCCAGCCCAGCTGCTTATAGAACACTACCGCCATGTATAATGTATTAGGAAATCCATGAAAGAGTTAATGTGAATACCATGTGGGTAGAGGTGGGAAAAGATTGAGGGTAACAAATCCAAGCCTAGAGAAAGACGCAATGAGGTTTTGGAATCATGTTTGATATGTACTAGTACTGTGTGCAGTGGTCCACCAGAAAAGATGGGACCCCCCGATCTACGTGTTTAACATGGATTTGATAAGACAGCTTTACAACATTGGAGTATATCGATTGATATTCTGATTTTACTTCTCTTACGTTGCATTGCAACGTATCGCAGTGGCTACTACACCTGAGTCCCGATTATCTGGTTTGAAAAGCTGGTGAGGACGCATTGTGAATTTGCAGACATAACGACAAAATAGTTATCCCCTGACATGATTCAGGGCTGCAATCGGGTCGGACAAATCGGATCCAAATCCATTCGAACACATACTCCATCCACTTGATGTATCGGATTCAAAACGATATTTTAGAACGCAGCATTGAATTTGAGTTCCTATCTTATCCTATCCGGATTCAATCCGGACCCGACTCGGATTTAAAGTCGGACAATCTGTGCTATATTATTCACCAGGCTTCGTTTGGTTGTTTGTAGTTGCAATTTCATTTGCACTGGTGTTAAAGTATGATAATGTGATTTGCGAATGAATTGAAGATCTATTTGGTTTTGATGTAGCATGATCTGGTCACTCCTACCTGGTAGGGACCTCACTCCTATCTAGCGATGGACGGAACCTCAAAAGGAGAAGAAGATGAAGGATTCCCGGGGAGTTCGCCCGGTGGGAACACTCCGATTCTTAAGTTAGAACTCGGTGGAGAACCTAGAGAGTTGTAAAGGAAAATGAGCTAAGAGTGGAGATGCGCACTTACTCAAAAAATTAATTACCTTGCCCCTTGGAAATCGGGGCCTTTATATACTGATGCTCTGTCAAATCGGGTGTAACCGCCTCTGATTCTCTGCTACAGCCGTTATTCGCCAGGCTTATTCGATTGGTGCAAGTAACCGTCACAGGGTACGGTCCTGTCAGTTGAGAGACATTATGCATGCAAAGCTGGCGTGCACGATGCCGCCTGACGTGAGACGTGGGCGCAATCCTCTAGACTAGCAGGTGTTGCGCCGCCAGACAAGAGACGTGGGAGCAGTCTGATAGGCACGATCTTGTCCGATAAGAAGTTTTTCGAAGATTCCGGGTTACTTAATAGCGAGCTCCTTTGTAGCGAGCTCCTTCGTAGCGAGCTTCCTTGCAGCAAGCCGTTCTGTAGCGAGCTGACTTGTGGCGAGCTGTTCAGGCTGGGTTTCAGCGGGCTCATTACGCCGAGTTGTTGCCAAGCTGTCATGCTGAGCTATCGCTTACGTCGAGTTATGTCCATGTGTCACCTGGTTAGGAGGTCGGGTCAAATCACCCCCCATCACTTGCCCCCCACTCCTCGGGCTAAGGGTCTTGCTCTAGTGCGGGGAGTTCACGAAATGACGGGTGGATTTGACATGTAATTCAAACTAGGTTGATCGACCGCATGAAGTATATGTGCGGATGTCAAGCGATTTCTAGATTTTTTGGAAGCAAAAAAATGCGCCAAGCTGCCTTCAGTTTCGGAAGACGTGCAATTGGCTTTATTTCAGTCTCGAAAGACGTGCAGCCGATTTGATTATGAGCCATTGGATTCGCTTTGACCGAGACCGTTGGTTTTCGGGCACAGCAGCTATAAATAGGAGGGCCCCAGGCCTCAATTTTTTTTACACCAACTTGCCTTGCTTTCGGTTTTGAGGTCGCGCCTTCGCCTTGTTTGCTCGAGCTCTCCCTGTTCACGTCGCTTTTCCAGTTCACTTTTTCTTGTGAGTCCTCTGTCTTGTCCAACAATGTCTGGGTACCCGTGGGACGGTAACTAGGACGAGGTCCCCTCGAGCTCGGGGGGAGCTTGGGGTTTCCTCGAAGGGTGGTCTTTGGAGGCTCGGGAAGCCTCCGGTAACTTGGCTTCCACTTCCTGGGGTCAGGAGCTGGATAGCTCTGGCCCTTCCTCCATGTCTATGGAGAGACTTCAGGCCCTAGTCTTTCATTACAACCTCCCTAGGGATATTATTTACAGCCTCCCATCCGGCAACTATCCCTAGGAGCACGACCACGACGAGATCGTGATCTTTGAGGAGCAACTCGTGGCTGGTCTCCGACTCCCTCTACACCCTTTGATAGTGGAGGTTCTTACCCATTTCAATGTTACCATAGACCAACTCCACCCGAACTCTGTTCAGAACTTGGTGGGGACTATTTCCTTGTTCTTTGAGTACTGTCTTCCTCTTTCCCTCGACACCTTTGCTTCTATACTATCAATCAAGAATGCCTCCCCCGGAGCCCCTCTAGAAAGGCGCTCTTATTACTTTTCCCCCCATCCGGGCTTTAAGCTCTTCCACAAGCTGCCTAACAGGATCCCAGCCTGGAAGCGGGGTTATTTTTGTAGTTCACAACCCCAAGGGGTGGCCCTTTCCGACCCATTGGAGGGCCACCATTCAGGATCCGGGCATTGACTTGGACCCGAAGGTACGGGAAACGTTGCAATCCTGGAAGGGGGTCGGCTTTCTCTGTTCAGATTACTTGGCTGAGGACAAGCTCGTGCAGGCCGGCCTAAGCCCCGGTAGGTTACCTTTAGGTCGCCTTCTCTTTTTTTTTTTTTTTGCAAGCTGGACTAATGCCTTGTGATTCTTGCAGCCAACATGTCTGGTGTGGATGCACATCGCCTGTTGTCGAGCAACCAGAAGCGTAGGGCGAAGAGGTCGTGCCTCGACCAAGCGTCCACTTCTGGGGCCACCGAGTTCGAGGCTGCGGACCTAGCCTTTGTTCCGCTGCCGGAGGTCCCACCTGTGCCGTTCGAGGGAGTAGCCGTGGGAGGCGGTGAAGAAGAAGAGGTCCCACCCCAGGAGCAGTACCCTCCGGCCGCGCGGTCCGGCCCCACCATCTTCCTGCGGTTTCCTACTGAGGGG